GATATAGCAGGCACTTGCTAATTTTTTCGTTAGGCAATTTATGTGAGGCTCAAACTTCAACTGTGAATCAATGTGCAGACCCAGAAACTTCACTGTGGTTCTATTCTCTAATGTTTCATTTTGTAGCATGATATCATTTAGAGCACACTTGAAAGTCAGTATATTTGTTTTCTGTATGTTGAAGCACAGCGCATTGGCATCACACCACCCCTTAATTTGTGAAAGATCGTTCTCTCTATAACTGTCTTGAAGATGGTTGGATTTTCTTTCGTAGTCCATAATATAAATATATTTGTGTCATCAGCAAACGCTACCATCTTCGCAGATACTGGTAAGGAGAGCAAGTCACTGATGTAGACAAGGAATAGAAGCGGCCCCAAAACCGAACCCTGTGGCTCTCCGTGTAAGATTCCCTCTGCACCCGAATCAACACCACCCGACCGAACAAACTGATCCCTCCCCAAAAGCATTGAAGCAAACCAGCTCAACTCAGTTCCCAGGACACCATAATGGCTCAGCTTCCGCAGCAGTATTCCGTGATTAACCGTATCGAAGGCCTTTGAAAAATCGCAGAACACTGCCGCAGCAACCTCTCCTCCATTCAAACCAAGGTACAAACTATCCTTACCCTCAATATTCGAAAACTCATTTCTAGGTTTTATATTTTAAAACATATCCTAAGCCAGAATGTGTTATTGATGGTTTACAAAGCGATGATAGAGTCGCTGATAAGGTATGACATTCCCATATGGGGTGGTCTGTACAACGATGCTATAAGACAATTAAACGTGGTCCACAATTATATCCTTAAGGTTGTTTATGAAAAGAACAAAAGGTATTCTACAGCCCTTTTATATTCTAAAGATGTTCCTAACATAAGAACATTGTATATCTATTCTCTTTGCATGAACGTCTATGTTAAACCATCTTCTATAGAAAAAATTAATCACCCCTATAGTACCAGAAATAACCAAAGTGGGCATCTCATAATACCAAATAGCAACTCCAATCTAATTTTAAGATTTTTTAATTACTTAGCTCCTAAGTAATTACTACAACCTGTTACCTATAAATATAAGAATGATACGTAAAAAAAATGTGTTCAAAAGTAAATGCCTAAACTATATATTTCAAAATTTAAACTTATTCTTGGTTTTCTTGTAAGGTACTTGTATTAATTTGAACTATTGACAAATTTTGAAGACATTGGTGGTTTTTCTGTGTATACATTTCAAAATAAATCCACTCTTGTTTTTGTCTTCTGCTTTATGTAAATTATTGATAGGATCTATTGTTTTTGGTTATGGCTAATTGTACTATAGTATGTTTTTCTCTATGCTAACTGCACATACAGATATTTATGTCTAGGTGCAGAATAATAACAATACCATGTGATAGTGAAGTAATTTTTATTGTAGTCTATACCTAAGTGCAATTTATTGTAAATTAGCCAATTCCAGTAATATAATTTATAATATAATATAAAAATAATATTTTTCATTTCATAATTTGGGTGTTTTTATGAATTCTTAAACGCACTAGTGCTATTATGAAGGACTTAATGACATTCAAATGACAATGCTAAATGTGTCATAAAAACACCGACGTAGATTAAGTTACCTAATAACTGACAGAAATAAGAAATCAATTGATAGGGTAAAAATAGATGATAATATTAGCACATCACTAAAGGATATGGCAGAAAAACTTAATAAATTCCTAGCAACTAATGAAGGGTTAACAAAAACTCAGTGGGCTTTGGGCTTTTTGTGTCAAAAACCCACTCATACAAAACATATTCCTACCAAAGTTTTAAATATCAATCCAAAATTCAGGATTACAAAATCTTAATTACTTAATAGGTTTGTAGAGAATCCAATTGGCTTTAACTGGAGCTTAATTACACATAAATCGGATAAATTAATGGAGCATTAAGGCAAAAACTGTCTTGTGTGAATTTTTGAAAAAAATTTCAATGTTCAATAAATTCAATTTTGAAGCATCCCATGTGCAAAACTTTCAATACCAAATTAAAATCTCAATTAATGAGTTTGTAGAGAATTTAATTAGCTTTAAGTAGAACGTAACTGCGTTGAAATCGGATGAAAATTACAGGAGCTGTGAGGCAAAAACTCTCTCAGTGTCATTTTTGGAAAACTGTTCAAACCAAATCAGAATCTCAATCAATAGGTTTGTGGAGAATTTAATTGGCTTTAACTGGAGCTTAATTACTCTGAAATCGGATGAAAATTAACGGAACTGTGAGGCAAAAACTGCCTCATTGTCATTTTTGGTAAATTTTTAATGTTCGATAAATTCAATTTTGAAGCTTCTCAGGTGCAAGACAGTTGGAACCAAATTGAAATCCTAATCAATAGGTTTCTAGAGAATTTATTTGGCTTTAATTAGAGCCTATTTGCGTTGTAATCGGATGAAAATTAAAGGAGCTGTGAGGTAAAAACTATCTCAGTGTCATTTTTGGAAAATTTTCAATGTTCGATAAATTCAATTTTGAAGCTTCTTAGCCTCAGCTGCAAAACTGTTGAAACCAAATTAAAATCTTAATTAATAGGTTCATAGGGAATTTAATGGGCTTTAATTAGAGCTTCATCACATCGAAATCAGATGATAATTAACAGAGTTATGTGAGGCAAAAACTGTCTCAATGTCATTTTTAGCAAATTTTTATTGTTTGATAAATTCAATTTTGAAGCTTCTCATGTGCAATACTATTGAAACAAATATCGGGCCTTCGAAAAAAAAGCACAATCAAAAATTGTTTTGATTACGAAAACATATCTCGCATTATTGTTCCTTTATTGGTCAGGATTTTTGACATGACATTTTGACATTAAAGTTCATTGACAAAATTAAAGAAAAATAATGCTAAGACATACATTTAAAAAACCACAGCAATCTTTGATTCAGTTTTTTTTTTGAAGACCCATTATGTATACAATTTTGTCTAGACCCTCGGGCGGGCGCGCATTTGAAAATCACATTAGCAGGCGCGCTGCGGCACTGCGTGCCGCCTGCAGAAAAAAGTACGAAATGATTCAAAATATCAAAATTTATTTTAAATAGAGTAAAAAAATTAAGTAAATTGTAATTCTAGGCAACTAAATGAAATCTTTAATACTAATTTCGCAAAAACAGAAAAATAATATTATTCATAATATTTGTACTATTCCCCTTTCAATTTTACTTACATGACCAGGCGCGCTGGCGGTACGGAATGCCGAAAACTCAACACCTGCAAGTTCAAGAACTCACTGACATGTGAACAAGCGCTCTAAGGTCGTAAATTGTACGTAGTAGGTTTGCTAATATAGTCATTTGAGCATAGCTAGACGGACAATATGATAAAATCCAAAATATTTGCGAAATCCTTGAAATAGTAAAAAGGCGGCATAAAAGGAAGATAGCGCGCCTGCCCGAGGGTTAAGTAAACACAAAATCCCTACAAAAACACAAAAACTATCACCCCGCAAAAACCCAAAAACTGGCCCAATATACATTTTCAAAAACTTAGGATTTTGTCAACCCCGCCAAATTATGAGGTGAGGCAAAATGTGCTTCAATGTCATTTTTGAAAAATTTAAAAATCCAAAAATGTTGGATGTTTTACTTTTTCTTTGAGCAAATATTAGACTGACTTGATTGAAAATTCACAAGTAGACATAGGAAAGATTGAAATTTGGGAAAATAATCAAATTTGGAAAAAAAATTCCTTCTGCTAACTCACTTTGATAAAAATCGAGGTCAAGACTTTCAAGCGTATTGAAGCTTCAGAGCTGCGAAACTATTAGAGCTACATTGAAATATTGACTAAGGATTTGAGGAGGATTTAATTGACCTTAATTTGAGCCTAATTATGTTGAGATGGGAATGATAGGATCCAAATTAACAAAATTTTGGAGAAAAATGTGAGTCCATGTCAGATCAGAAAAAATCAAACGAAATCTAATTGAGGTGCGTTCTATTTCTTTTTCAAATAAAACTTTTCAGACAAACGATTGATATTTTGTAAATAAATAAATAAAAATTTTAATTTAGAAAAAAAAGCAATTTCTTTCTCCTGACCCGCCTTGATCAAAATTAAAGTCAAAAAAGACTCTGAAGCTCTGTGAAACTATCAAGATATTTGTAGAGAATTCAATGGACCTCAATTTGAGCTTAATTACATTGAAATTAACAAAGTTGTGAGGCATAATCTCTGTCAATATCTTTTGGGAAAAATCAAATTTTGAAAAAACGATGTTGTGAGACCTATATATATATAGAAAATATTCAAGGATTGGATTAAAATTTCACAAGTGAGTTTCACTTTCTTAATTCATTTATTCCAAACTCTTGTTTTATTCACCTTTAATTTTTAGACAAACTTGCTGGTAACTATCTGCAAGATAGATTTACCTTTCTATAATTCTATTGGTCAGCAAATAACTGGCTGACTCAGGGCCAAATTATGGACCGACTGATAAGCCTCAGGTTATTACCTAGCAGGTACTTTCCATGCTCTAGAGAATAGAAAGTACCTGCTAGGTAACAACCTGACATTTATCAGTCGGTCCATAATTTGGCCCTAATGGGATTACATATTGCGTTTTTATCTACCAGATTGCATATCTGACAGTTTATCAGAAGGTGAATAAATCAGCCCTATGAGAATTTAGAAAAAATGAAGGAAATTTAAGCCTGGAATAAACAAAAAACTAGAAACTGAGAAATGGAAACAAAGAGGAGGAGAAAAAAATGAGAGATAGGATAGTAAATAAAAAAATTATAAAATAATAATAAAAAAACGATTTGAATAGAAAAAAAAAAAAAAAATAGAAAATGGGTATCTAGAGAAAAAAATTGAAAATTACAAAAAGAAGTCAAGTTTCAAGTTATCATCATAAAAAAAAAATACAAGATTGAACAAAAGTTTCAATTTCAGACCAGACAGTATGAGGTAAGTAATAATTTAGAAAAGATAAAGAAGTTTGAAAACTCACCTATATTCCTGGTTTCATCAAAATCACACAATACACTGTCATAAACTGTCCTTACTCTCAACTGTCTTTTAACAGCTGAAATTAAAGGGGGCCTCTGGAAGAGAGCACCTTTCAATCTTTCAAGGCCTTGTTTGATTTTCTGTACGCCACCTTCTACAGGAGAATGGAGCTTGAAAACCGTCACATACTGCTTTCCTAATAGAAATCAACAATATATTAAATACAATTAACTAATAATAATAAACACAAAGTTACCTGCTGATTGTTGTGATTTGACCAATCTGGTGGCTCTTTCTATGCACACAATTAAACATCCTGTTGTTTTCGGATCAAGAGTGCCCGAATGACCAGTTTTTTCTACTCTAAGAATTCTTTTTATCCATGCCACCACCTCGTGCGAGCTCGGATTACTGGGTTTGTCCAAATTGATGAATCCTGATTTGATGTATTCTGATAGTTCACGTTTCAAGGGGCTGGCGCCTGAGGGTATTGGAGTGTAATGGTTCGTACGGACATTGAGACGATCAAAGTTCTAAAAGGAAGTCATGAAGTATATGCGGTGCAAATATGAAAAAATACTTATTTAAATGTTTTTACTTTACCTTAAGCAATAGAGGCCACTGGGAAGTATCTAGTTTTGCGGCTTTCTCTGAACTTTTCAGCTGAAAAGTGTTTTCCCTTTGAATTTCGGCAAGACCATCAGTCTTGCTCTTCTTTTTCTTCTTCTCTTTAACTACGGAAACATAAATCAGACATTTTCATTCATATTAAATTAGAATTTACCTGTATTATCCATGATTTTTCTTTATTTTTTAAATTCCACGTGCCCGAATATCTTGAAAGCACGCGTACCAAAAATATATTTTGATTTGAGGTTAGGTTATATGCATGCGCGTGCTTAAATTCTTTATTCCTTTTGAGAGCACAAGGTCTCTCTCTCTTTCTTCAGTGAAGGCAAATGACAAGGACAGCTATATGTTTCGACGTGTATCAGAACACTATTAGTGAACTCACACGAAACAGGAAAATTTCTAAATATCATATGTCAGAGTGAGAAGGATATAGGATAGGAACAATTAACAATTTTATTATCTTAAGGCATTGCCTAAAAACTAAAAACATTGAAAACATTACAAAAAATGTTGGAGAAGTTTGTTAATGGTACCTAATTATTATTTAAAAAAAATTGATTTTGTCCTTACCAAAAACCCATAAAAATATTGTGAATTCGTTGAGCATCTTTTAAAAATAGTTTTCTTTTTTCTTTGCTATAATGAATTTGAGTTTCACCGTTTATATTTTGTGTATTGTATGGAAAATCCCAGTTATAAACAAATTAAAATAAATAAATAACAAAAATATTTTGGGATCATACGTTGAATGGGATTTTAAATAAATTTAAATAAATATATTATCAGGACATCAGAGGCCCCTACAGGTCACACCTCTATAGACTTTTGTATACTGTTTTATATTTTGATTCAAAAAATAAACATTGTTTAAATTGTATTCAAATTTATTTAATTTTGTGTATTTTTTCAAAAAAAAAAAAAACTAAATTACAAGTAAAATGATTATTAAATATTATTGAAGTATTTTTCCACACATCAGGAGAGCAGATTTGGTAAAAGGAGGACTGGGAATATTGATTTTAAACCAAAAAGCCCAAGCGATTTGAAATTTTGCTGATATTAGATGGCGCCACACAACGTACATATCGATTTAAAAATCATTAATATCCATATCCATGTACATGGAAATGAGCCACAGGAGAATGCTGGATAATGGGCACATGGAGCACTGGCTGAATCACAGCCGCGTTGTGGACTACATTATGATATTGGCGAGATACTCTTGTGGGTACATCAGAACTGTGGTAAGTCACTGGAGCAGAATGGACGATTATTGGGGCTGTTTCTGAGTATGAGGCGAGCCCTAATAGAAGGGTTGTTATGAGCAAAATGGATTTAAATGTTGTAGTGGTAGTGGCATCCATAATTATTACTGGTTCCGATGGACGATGAAACAGAAATGCTAGAACAAGAATTAAATTTTTATTTTAAATTAATTTATTAATGATGCATGTATTTTACAAATAAGTATTTACACCAATTTCGCAAGCCAACAATTTAACTCTAGATACCTAGACAAAATAATTGTTGACACAAAAGGTACGATGGGTGTTTTATAATAGTTATTTACATTACAAGTGCGTTTATGAACATGATTACAATCAGGGCCGGCTTAAGGGGGGGGGGGGGGCGTGATGGGCGGCCGCCTAGGGCGGCACGATCCAGGGGCGGCAAATTCATACCATACAACAACAAAAATTATTAGAAAATTAAACCAACGACTTTAATACAATTAAGAAATATAAATCCAACAGCGAACCAATGATACAGGGTTTTTGGTACATCTATAGAAGATTTCAAGAAGATTTCAGAGTGATAGTTAGGGTCATTTGGAAGCTGTTTGACCATAGTTACCCTCATGCAAAGTTTCGCCGTTTTTTTGAGATATCGCCATTTTAGATATTTTTAATTCATGTATTTTAACACATAACTTGGACTACATATTTTTTGTATCAATCATTTGGATTTTCTTTCCGAATTTTTCGAAAGAGTGCATGTCAGGAATATCGGAAAAAAAATTGAGAAAGGTTAAAATAGTTATTCAAAAAAAAAAAAACTGATGTGTTTTAGGAATAGTTCAAATATTTCCCAAAAATATCTAAAAATGCTGATATCTCAAAAACGACAAAATTTTGCATAAGGGTAAATATGATCAAACAGCTTCCAAATGACCCCAACTAGTGATAGGAAGTTTTCAATGAGAATTCATTAAAAACTTCCTATCGATGTACCAAACACTCTGTATTATAGGATAGGTGCATTTCAACTTCTTATATGATATCCATTTACTCATGCATGAGAATTCTTTCGATGTAAATGTGGCATAATTAGCTGATGAACTATCTGTGATAGACGTTACTGGAGCTCAATCAAAATCCTTTTGATGTGTTAAAATTAGCACTCCAACTGGATATTGCACCGAATGTTGTTGTGGCCCTCAGATCCTCAGAATTTTATTACCATTGCCCATAACTCTTGCAAGTGTTAAGAAAAGTTTCTCTAAATTAAAATTAATAAAAACGTATTCAAAATCATCTCGGCCAAGAAAAGGTAAGCAGTGAGCATGTTAGCAATGATTGCTTTTGAGCATGAAATCGATGCTAACTTAAAAATGAATCATCTACTTGAAGATTTTGCTGCATTCAACGCTCGAAAATATCTTAAATAATATCCCAATAATTTTATTGAAAATGTACCTACTCACCCTAATGACACAAAAGGTACGATAGACGTTTTTTTTTAAGTCCGTTCAACGTCGAAACATCCGAGGACTAAAATAGAACGTTGTACAAACGTTTGCACGAAATCATTTTTAAAAACGACGAAAAAAGACGTTCGAAATATATTCACAAAACGTCCATAAGCATAAAGTTCTGAAAGAAAAGTTTTGGAAACTACTGTTTCTGCACGTGATAATGTCCATGTCCGAGTGTTTTTAAAAAGGTAAAGAGAGGATGTTCTTTAGACGTTTGATTAAGTTATTTTCAAAACCTCTATTAAAGAACGTCAGAATGTTTTCTATGAGTTCGTAAAAGTATGTTTTCATGAAAAGTCGTGAGAGATATTTTATAAAGGTATTCTGTTGGTCGTTTTCAGGAGCACCGTTGGAAACATATATCCCACGTCCACACGTCCGGAAATTAGTTCGAATAAGACGTTTTTAAAAGGTTTTTTGTAACTGTGATATTTGCACTACCTATAAAATAAGTCTATTGGATGGTGTTGGATTCTTTGAAGGAAGTCCAGTGAATGTTCATATAGAGATCTTTGAAAAACGTCCTTTTTCGTTTTTAAGCGTTCGTATTAAAGCATTGTTGAAACGCTCATTTTCGACGTTTATATGACGTTTGAAGTGACATTTGCACCAAATAAAAATGCACCTTTGGATATTCTCAGTTACTTTTACTGACGTTTTTAAAACATTCTGACGTCCGATAGGATAATTTTTTGAAACGTTTCTGTGCTATCAGGGTATATCTACATAATGTATCTGTTGATTGTTGCCAAGAGCTTGGATTGGCTGACTCTTACTTTGTTTGTTATGTTTCTTGTTTTCTTATGTTAGTTTTTTTTTGTGGTTACCTAAGTTAAAAAATATAGTATGTGGTTTTATTGCTATGATACTATGCCTTACTGTTTCGTGTAATTATTTTTTCTTTCTACAATTCAAGATCTCTCACATTTTCCCTAAGCAGGCCATGGGATGGGGCGGCAAATTTACTCATTGCCCAGGGCGACAAAATACCTATAGCCGGCCCTGATTACAATAACGAGTTATTAGAACAACGAGGTCGTAGACCGAGTCATTCTAATCACACGAGTTTTGTAGTCATGTTTAAACGCACGTGTGATGTACAACGTTTTATCTACAAAGCAAAAAATAAGATTTTTTTTTTTCAATTATTTTCGTTTACTAGTAGTTGTCTACCTTCATTTTTACCTTTACAGATTTAACCTTGATATTTGTCAAATCACCAAAAATAGGGCATGTCCATGTGACGTCAAAAATGAGTTTGACAATCGCCCTGAGGTAAAACAAATCATATTTTTTTATTAATAACCTATTTCACTTATTTTTTTAATTGATAACCTATTTTACTTTTTTAAAGTACTCCATAGCGTGTTTAAATCCAACATTCAAAAACGCGCGTGTTTTAAAGTTATCATGACAACGTCAACAACGTTCTGTGGTCAACAACCCATGAAAGGTAAAGTCTGTGACAACTTTTTAATTATTGATTTGTCAGGAGTAGGTACTTGTAGATAACGTCAAATAAAATATAAAAAGTGTTAAGCACAAAGGATCCCACATTTCTTATGGGATTTCTGACCGCGGTCAAATTTAACCAAATTTTAGTATGTTATAGATCTCACCTTTCTGATCAATAGCTACCATGGGCACAACTTAATCCTATGACTAGTTTTTGAGATACAGGTAGCTCAATGTCCAAGAAATGCACACATTTTATATGCATTTACATCTACCTGGGGGGGTTTATTTGAAATGTGCAATTCAAATACGTCTGACTAAGTCGCAGTTTTTGCCGGTATTAAAATGCTAAAAAATGCGTCAGACGAATTCGAATTGCATATTTCAAATAAACCCCCCCTGCCACCTAATAATACCAGGATGGACAGGTATCCTCACGCTTAGGTGACAGGTAGATGTAAATGCATATAAAATGTATGCATTTCTTGGACATTTAACTACCTGTCTCTCAAAAACTAGTCATAGGATTAAGTTGTGCGTATGGTAGATTGATCAGAAAGGTGAGATCTATAACATATTAAAATTTGGTCAAATTTGACCGCGGCCAGAAATCCCATAAGAAGTGTGCGGGGTCCTTTAGCATTCTACAATAATTAGTAATTTATGATTTGAACGTAACCAATAAAATATCCACTTATACTTTAATATACTATAAAATACTCCTCAGCGTGTTCAAATCCAACATTCAAAAACGCGCGTGTTTTAAAGTTACCAATGACAACATTAACAACCCGAGAAAGGTCTAAATGTCAACTTTTTAATTATTGATTTGTCAGGAGTAGGTACTTGTAGATAACGTCAAATAAAATATAACAAGTGTCAAGCACGAATTTAGCATTCTACAATTATTAGTAATTTATGATTTGAACGTACTTATACCAATAAAAAAAAATAGGTATTCGTGGATAACTGGTCTCTAAAACACTTGCTCTATTTCGAGCACTCCGGCTGCGCCGTCGTGCTCGAAAAATCGCGCGTGTTTTAAAGACCTTAATATCCACTTATATTTTAATATACTATATTTACATTGGTGTAGATTAGGCCGGTTATGTTTTTCGCGGTTTTCACAGCTTTTTTGCAAATTTTTGTGTTATTTTGTTTTAAAAAAGTTAAAGTAAAGGGTTTATGTTCCAGTCTATGTGGTCTTTTATCCAGAAGTTTGCTAGGTTTTTCTATAATGGATTAAATTCAGGGTTTTTCCAACAAAAACCAAAACCAAGTGTCACAAGAACAAATATATAAGTATAGTTACTCTATAATTTAATCTATTTTTCTATCAGATCTTCTCTTTTAACAGCATTAATCAATTTTTCTCTTCTTTCTTGAGCTAGCAAATCAAACCTCCCATTGTTATTTAAAATTGATGGAAACCTATGGAAGGATATTGTATCCCTTGCACTATATACTGCCAGAATTAACAACTAAACAAACTCTAGGCATGTCCAAGAAACTTCTGGACCACACAAAAGGTATTTAATTAAAAAAATCTAACTAAAAACCTAAAAAACCACTGTAAATTTATCTTTTACCTCAAGGCGACTGTCAATAGTGTGAAACTGTCAGATCGTGTACTTGCCCTATAGTTGTGTTATAGATTCATAACCTAGTCTATAACACCACTAGTTGTGTTATGAATTCATAACCTAGTCCATAACACCACTAGTTGTGTTATGAGTCTCATGACATAACTCAAAATACTAGAAAAATGGTTATGTAAAATCGTCATAACCAAACGCTTGTAGATAAAGTATGTTTAACGTCGTTTTTAAAAACGACATAAAAATATGTTCAACATATCAATGTTCAGAAAATAGACTAGACTGATTATATCAAAAAAGCTCTCCGTTTTAATATTAGAAGCATTTCATATTACTTTTGGGCAAAAGCTCTTATCCCCCTATTTTGACCCTGCTGAATCCGAAAATGCCGATTGCCCAAGCGAAATCTGAACCGGAACCGGAAGTGCGATATCCAAGATGGCGGATGGAGGCCGATATGGGGACAAAACCCAAGGTTGTCTGAAAAAGGTAGGTTGCCTAATAACATTTATGACGTCATCTCGGATGCCCAAAAATTCAAACATAATGCAAACCTTCATAAGGTCCTCCTGATGACGTCATCGATTTGCCACT